TTTGCTTCCCACACAGAAACAATAAATTGAAAAATACTGTTTGAGGTACTAGTTATAGCATTAATTCTCAACTGTACAGCACCACTAAGGACAAAAGATCCCTCAGAAGGAGTTAAGTGCACAAGTGACCTCCTGTTGTTGGCTTTAACAAATTGACACTCTTGTTTATGGCATCAGTAATCACCCTAGGCTCTTGTCATGAGCTGCCAAGGCTATGGAAGTCCCCCTGAGTTCACCGACTCTGATAATTTTTTAGACAAGGCCCATGGTCAAAGTGGAAGTTCTCTCCTCCCTTCAGAGAAAGGTACCTCCTTCTTTGATGACCCCGTTCTTTCCACTGGGGTCTCACTCGCGGAGATCATTCATTTAGGTTTTTTTTTTTTTTTCCCCCAGAGTGTCTTGGTTTTCCATGCCTGAAATACTCTCATGGGCATTTCAGCCAGATCCACATGCCTTAAGGGCTGATTCTGAGGCCAGAGTGCTGTTGAGGACATCTGCCATTCTATGGGTCTGCTGTGTATCTCACTTCCCATGTTGGATTGTTCTCTCCCTTTTTTATTCTATCGGCTAGTATTTGCAGACACTATTCTTGTTTATGTGATCCCTTTGGTTCTTAGTCCTATCATTATGATCAATTGTGAACAGAAATTGATCACTGGGACTAGTGAGATGGCATTGGTACATGCCACCTTGATGGGATTGAATTGGAATCCCCTGGTATGTGAATCTAGAATAACACCTGCCAGTCTTTTTCTTTTAATTTTTCATGAATTAGCATTTCTGATGAGTCTAGGCAGTTGCCCTGTGTATGTCCACAATGTGACTTTATCTGATTATTTTCCAGTTATTAATTTAGGCTTTGTTAGCAAAATGACTAAACAGCTCCATCCCTTCCAAGGGACTTGATGTTCTTTGATGATTTCATAGATATCTGGGTGGTGCCTTTAGTCACATTTTCGGTGACACAGGTAGAATTATTGTATATAGTTAGCACCATATTTCTTATCTAGGTTTTTTACAGCAGAAGATCTCATCATTAAAGGGAGCTCTCATATTTATTTGGTCATCGTATTTTCCTACCATGAAGCATTTACATAGCCTGGATTGTTGTCTCTCTATAATTCTCAGAGGGGCTTTGTAGTAACTTATGTATAGTCTCCTTAAGAACCTTTTGCTATAAGCTTCACCACTTTTTGTCTCTCATTATGTAAGGGCCTTATCATACTACTTTAGAATGATCATTTTAATAGGCAAATATGATATGATCAAGTTCCTTTCTTTGTAATCTTACATCCTGACTTGCTGTCATATCATCTAAATCCTTTGTCTTGAAAAGTATTCCATATTTTCTTGTATGGATTCTGTATTTATTTTCTATTATAATCATAATAAAATTGTCACAGATTTAGGAGCGTACAACAACATATATATTATCTTGTGGTTCTGTAGATTAGAAGTATAGTAAGTGTCTAATCAGCCCAAAAATAAGGTGTTGGCCAGCTACATTACCTCCTAGAGGCTCGAGGGGAGAATCTGTGTCATATCCATTCAGTTGGTGACAGAATTCAGTTCCTTATTTCCTTGCTGGATGTCAGCTGGGTGCTGTTCCCAGCTTATAGTGGCTATCTGCATTCCTTGGTTTGTGATCACACATCTTCAAAGCCAACAATGACGGATTGATTCTTTCTCATATGTAGAATTTCTCCCACTTCCTTTGTCATTATTCTCTCTGACTCAGCTCTTGAAAGGTCCTTTGCTTTTAAGGACACATACAACTAAAGTGTGCCTACCTAGGTAACCCAGAATAATATTCTCTATGTCAAGATCCTTAACTTAATCACATCAAGAAATTTCCTTTTACCTTTTAAGGTAACATAGTCAAGGGGTCTGGGAATTACAGGGTGAACATCTTTGTATGACTATGATTCTGCCAAGCACAATCACATTATAATAGCCAGCCATAACATGATACCCAATATCTGATCCATCCATTCTTTCATTCAAGCAACAAAAATACTAAAGGTCTTCTATTCAATTTGAGGTATTTCCGAGGTTACTCAGATAATGCATCTAACTCACCCCAAAGGTTCATAGACTGGTTTGGTAAGCTCTGTGGATAGAGAAGGGCACAGAGTACTCTAAGAGTATTATAACAGAAGAGTGTATGACCTAGACTACAAATGCCAGGGATGACCTCCGGTGTAACTCAATATCTGATCTGAATTATAAAAAAAGAGTGATAGTATTAAATATGAATGGATGTTGGTATAGGGGAAAATAAAGCACTTCATGTGGTAAGAATATAATGACCAAAGTAACAAAGTTCAAGATAGCCTGTTCTCTTGGAGAGACGGAGATGGATGGTAGCCGTAAATTTTCCTGGAGTGGAAAGATAAAGCTAGATCATAAAAGCCAGAGCATAAACATGAAGACATTGTGTGCCATGTTAATTAGGTTGAAGATAAGTCTAGGAAGGGAAGTCATTGAATAGTTTAAGGAGAATAAAATGTTCACAATTATGTTCATATTTATGATGTAGATCATAACAGTGTCCAAGTTGGAGGATAATGCAGGAAGAGATTCAAATGAGAAGACCATTTAAGATACTTATGTGAAAACCCTGAGAAGTAATAAAGGCTTGAATTAAGCCAATGCTGATTGGAATGGAGTATGAAGAAATGGATTTGAGAAAGGTTAATGAAATATTATTGATTAGATATTATGTCATTCGGGGTACAGTCAGAGAAATAGAACCAGTAGAGAAAGATATTGAGAAATGTATTGCAGGATATTTGTTTAAGTCTGCAGCATAGGCTTTTAGAAAAGGCAGGCTGGAATTCTCAGGCATGGACTGAAACTCAGGTTCTCAAATGGAATTTCTCCTTCAGGAAAGCCTTAGCTTTGCCCTTAAAACCTTTCAGCTGATTAATTAAAATCCACATAGATTATCTAGGAAAATCCCCTTTACTTAAAGTCAACTGATTATAGAGGCATCTCCAAAATAGCTTCACAGTGATAACTAGATGAATGTTTGGTTGAATAACTGGGGATTATAGCCTAGTCAAACTAGCATGTCCATAAGACCATCACAGATGAGTCATCCAAGGGAGACAGGATAACAGAAAATTATTCTTAAATTTCCAGCCTCAATATATCACTAACAGATATAAAATAAAAGAGAAGGAACAGGTTTTCAATATTTTGAGTAAGATTGCTATATGGAGATTGCTGGCAATCAGGTGAAGGTCTGTGACTGCAAGAAAGGTTTGGGCCAGATAAACAGATTAGGATATCCATCATCACAAAAATGATAGTTAAAACAAGGTGATAAATTAGATAATTTAGAAAATATTATATAGACAGGAAAATATGAGTTAAGGAAGAAATTCTGGGCACCAAAACTTACAGATTATCTGGAAAAAGATGAACAGATAAATGTACCTAAGATGAAGGGAGAATCTCAAAGAATTTAATGCCCAACTTTAATAAGTTTATGGAGGGATGGACGTTTGGAATAGTGGTTTAGATGCCACTTGGGATGCCCACTTTGCATATTGGAGTGCTTAGGATTGAGTTCCACCT